GGATCTCTCCAAAACACTTGTGCCCCTGCTGCAATTAAGTATGTTTGGAACACAATATTAATCTAATATAATTTAAGCAGTCATAATAATAATTATTGGCATAGGGATTTAGATAATTGTTTTATTTAGCTAATCTTTTAAATCTTCATTCAATTTCACAATTTAGGAATAATTAATTAGCAAACCTTCATTGGCTTCTTTAGCAATCAATGGATGGTCAGTTGAAACCCATATTGCTTGGATTTTTCCCTCTTTTAGCAATGGTGTAATTTTTTTAACGCTTCGTCTAATAAGTGTAACATTATTAATTTTTTGCAAATTTTTCAAAGGTATTCCTTTTGAACCTCCTCTTGCTAGTATCAGAACAGCAATGTTCGGATGAGGTGCAATTAAACTAATAAAAAGTAGATATATATATATATATATATATATATATATATAATTCAACTTTAATAATTTTATCTTTATGCATACCCATAAACATAACAGAATATAGATAAACCAAATAGTATAAAAAACATATATTTCATATTCATTATTCAACAAATTAAATCTCTATTTCAAACAGTATAATAATTTCATAGAATGAAGTCACATAATTATATTATACAATATACTCTTTCACAAAAAACAACAAATAATCAGTTCCACAATATCAGTGAAGATATAACTCAATACATAAAAACTGAATGTTTCTTGAACACTAAATTAAATAATAGAGGAAGTACCTCTGAATGAGATAACATGTACATTCAGAGCTGTAAGTTTTCTCAGAAAACTTTTCTCATTTAATAACAAACAAAAATAACATAATGATAATTGTTAAGAATATTTATGAAAATGATTTTTCAATATGTTAAAATTTTCGATACACAAACCACATTCAGTACATATTACATATTTTCCTTGTGCAAAAATTTTTTTATGATCCAACATATGTTTGCAATAATTAGTGCGGTTTTCAAATCCTGTCTGACATGCATGGCATTCATATTTAAAATGAGTCAAATTCATATTATTTTCTTGAATTTGAGAATTATAAACCATCATGCCAGGATCACCTCCAATGAATGTTTTTTGGAAGTGTTCTTCCAACATTTTTTCTTCTGATGTCTTTACCCTCTGGTTTTCATTTATTCCACTACAAGAAATGTAATGTGCTTGTAATGCAATATTATTCAGAAATTCATCACCACATATTTGACAAAAAAGTTTGTATTTGTATGCATATGAAAATTCATATGGTCGCTTGTTAACATTGTATGATGCCCAAAAATTTGCATTTTGGCTATTCATATATTCCGCACTCCAAGTAGATTTACAAATAGCCTTATTTGTTGAATTAGATGTATTAGTTGTATGATAAAAATTATTATTAAAGCTTTCTTGATTGATCTGTACATCAATTTCTCTTATAACTAAATTCAAAGGCATCTCATCATTGCCATTCATATATTTGTCAGCATTATCATTAAATTGTTCAATTTCTGAACTACTTTCTGTTTCAGATGGAAAGTACTTATTCATATTGTCTTCCCAATAAGGATTTCTAGTTTCAGCATTTTGCTCTTCCTCAAAAAATTCAACAATGAAGTCTTTTACATCATTTGTTAAGCCCATAGAAATGCTATCGAGATTTGAATCATCATTCAAATTATTTACTAGGTGCTCTGGTGCAATGTTCCTCAAATCGCTAATTAAATCATTAGATTCAATGAATGTCTTATTTAATAAATCATTGCCAAGGTTATCTTGCAAATGGTAAGGATTTTCAATACAGCCTTCTGATGATTGTTGATGATTGTTATTATTAAACTCGTATCCTTCATTTTTATCAGTAAATGGTGTTTGATTCTGATTTTGTTTTGTAAGGATATTTTGATAATTGAGTGCATTATTTGATGTAAAATCAGCTTGAACAACTGGAATTTCTTTTACAACTTGCAATCCATCAACATAATTCTGGTAAGCCTTATTCCAAGTAACATCTTCTTTTGCTTTTACTTCTTGATTATTGGCTTGTGGAATAATAAGTTTCATTTTGGCGGGATTTATTACATTAATTTGGTTTCTCTTTCTGACTGAACCTTTTGCCACCAATACGGATTCCAATATTGAATCCTTTGTTGTTGTTGCACATTTCTTGTTCTGGGAGCAACGACTAACTTTTTCTCTCCTATTAGTTGATGATACAGTTGTTCTTTTTCGAATGGCATCAGTCGGTGTTTTAGTTGTTTCACTGGCTTTACTTATTTTTACATTTGCAGGCTTAGTAGGCTTTTTGCGTAGTGATCGCTTCAAGGGAGTGTTGATTGTTGATGTTAATTGTGGTTGCTGAATTGGCTTGGTTTCATCGACTTCTTTTTCAGGTCCAATATTTTGCACTCCATCTGCTATTTCATTGGCATCTAACATATGAATTTTAGATTTAATTTTTGATTAAAATTAATTTACATACTAAATCATTTACACACTAGGCCTATAAATAATAATGACCAATTTACATATACTATATATATACCAGATGGTGCAGTAGTTATAAGAAATGATATCAGACGTGCAATAACTGAATTCTGTAAAAGTTTTCTAGAAGCAAAAAATATTTTGATTGATTTACCTAACAATTTCAGGTTCACTTAATATCCACATACTATACCAACAATTTTTTGGCTATTTTATGACTTTATAAAATAACATACTACAAGTTAAAGAGATTATACAATAGCTTATACACACAACACACTGAAACTAACATAATTTAATAATTTATATTTATTTAATTGACTAAATTTCAAGTTATTAAAATTAATGCAGGCTACTGACATTGCATTTCTTCAGAACATGTTAGTACTTGGTATTATATTTCTCATACGATGATTAATATTATAATACATATAAAAAGATAAAGAAAATTGAAATACTATTTTAGTCAGGTCTGCTGGGTATGTGTGCATAAACTATTTCCCAAGATCTATTTGATGATTTCTTTGGTGCTATAAGAGCATCTGATTACAATTGCACAAACATAAATATAAAAAGATTTGATCCTCTAACTCTAGTTTGGTTGCCGTTACTTGATATATTTTCATCTTGAAATCAAATAGTTGAATATATATATATATATATATATATATATATATATATTCTATAATAGCACCTATTTTAATATTCTAAGCATAATGTAAATCAGTCATAATTTTCATATGCCACAAATAAAGTTATAACAAAATAAATAAAATACCATTAGTTATTGTACATTGTTTTTTAGCTGCTTCAGTTTTATCATTCTTTCGAGGTCTTGGATTCTTCTTACGTCTGCCTTCAGTTTTATTTGAAGATTGCAATACTTTATCAATAGCTGTGACACAATCTTTTAATTCTTGTTGCAAAGCAGAAGCACTAGTTTTAGATTTTTTTCTGTTAGAATTATTGTTGATTTTGTCATCTTTCGTCAAATTTTCTACAACTAATGAAATTATGTTACAATCATATTATACTACACATTAACTAAATCACAATTAACTAACCATTTTCAATCTTGGATTCTCTGCGCGACAATATTGCTAAAGATAACTGATCAATCGAATGACATGTCGTTTGATGCAAATGCATTTCAGACATGCTATTTGCACGTTCATCACAAATAATGCATTTAATGAAATCCGTCATTCCTGAAATATGTACACACAAAACACAAGCATATAAACACAATTAATTAGGCAATTGCCCTAAATCAGAACCCTTTCGTTGAACAAGAAAACTTCGAACGCGTGCCGGACTTGATCTCCGCTTCTCAATCAAATCAAAACAATAGGTAACCCTTTTCTTGGGATCAAATTCAATGTTTAGTTTTTCACTTAATTAGGTTGCACAATTGAAGTCAAAATCGGTCACGCATAAAATTTAAATTGAGCAACGCTAATCTAAAGGATTAATAAAAAATAATAATTAACATGCGGATGATAACCCTATTAAATTATTTAGCAACCTTATGTGCGATTTCAGTTCATTTCAATTTTAAGTTCAATGTATATTATTTAAAAAATAAATAATCATATATCGAATATTCAATGTTGCAAAATTATAACTGAGCTGAATTTAATATTATTGCATTAAATTGATTTTTTAAATTGTATATTTATTATCCTAATTACTGCAAATATGTTCATAACCATGATCGAATAATGAATATAATTTAATTATCGCGCTAATTTTAAAAATAGATAACCATATTATTTGATTTATTTATAAATGCATTCAGTGCAGGTATAATATAAATTCATGTGAAGACTTATTCATTTAAATTATACAGAGTTTAACATTTGCTAGAAAAATCTGGCCATATACAATAAGCTTTTAAATTTATGGCAAAATATAAATTAGTGTAGGTATATAAAACATTTGTTTTTTATACACTAATATTTTACAGATTTTTTATATAAACTGTTTACAAGTAATTTTTTAAAATTGGGTGAATGGATTAGTGTTTGTTTAATATAATAGCAAAGCAAGAAATAACATTAATTTTAAAATTTAAATGAAAATCCCAAAGCAATTAATACTCTAATAATTTAAATTCATTAATTAAATTCGATAAATAATCTTGATTGTCGTACAACTGTTATATCATAAGCCTAATGTTATTTTATTAGTAATATATAAATAATTAATTTTTATAATAAGGGACGCATACAATTATCAAAGAATGTGTAATAAAAATTAAAAATATTCGGAGCACTGTTTAAATTTTAATTAGAGTAAATCTAATTATCTATCAATGATTTGATATAATGCTGACTGATGGCAAGGATTTGTCAAACGTGATAGAAAAACTGTAGCCCAATAAATTTAATGTTTAAAACTTTTGAAGATTTAAAAAAAGCGGCATAACGGCATAACGTTGTTCCGCAGACAACATTAAAAATCTTATCGATATTTTCGACGCTAACTTCGCGTTAGTGTGTATGACTGTGAAGCTTCTAATTTTGTTTGTCATTTGTTTCTTGTTGGTTATCTGGCAGTTTAGATTACTTATAAATTAATTTTATAATAATGGCTTTGGCTCAATTGTGTGGTTTGGAGAATTATTATTCTCAAAATGATGATACTGATGAATATGCAAAATTAACACGTAATTTCCAAAATAATATGGAATTATGTGTTCCTCCATTCGCAAATGTAAATTTTGTTGATGTCAATCTTTATTTATATTTAAAATATTGAAATATGTTTATGATTTATTTTTAGCCTGCGGTGGAACTTGCTAATATGAAAGATGAACAAGGAAATAAGTTGCGTATGCATTTTGATCATGGTACTACAACTCTTGGATTTCAATTCCGAGGTGGTGTGATACTAGCAGTTGATTCCCGAGCAACTGGTGGACAATTTATTGGGTCACAATGCATGAAGAAAATTGTTGAAATTAATGATTTTTTGTTAGGTACATATTTTGTGTCTTTTTAATTTGATCTTGAATTTCTGATTTTTCTTTTCATGTATACTTAGTTTTGTATCGAACCAGTTTGCATACGTTTGTTATATCATAGGTAATAATGCTGATTCATCATTACCAGTTACTGTCGACGTTACTGATAATTCTTATATGTAGCTTAAAATGCCTACTTACATGAGTCAAAATATTTTTTGAGGCATTATTCATTGAGAAACAGTTACAATTCAACAGCTTATCAGTTAATAAATATACTATTGTGGTTTGCTTTGTGCAAATTGTTTCCAAATATAGTTAAATGAATTAAAATGTGACTTCCTAAGCAACTTTGAAAGGTAAATCTTATATTTTCTCTTCTTAGGAACTTTGGCTGGTGGAGCAGCTGATTGTGTTTATTGGGATCGTGTGCTAGCAAAACAATGCCGTTTACATGAACTGCGCAATAGAGAAAGAATATCTGTAGCAGCTGCAAGCAAACTTATGTCTAATATGGTTTATAATTATAAAGGAATGGGCTTATCTATGGGTATGATGTTAGCGGGCTATGATAAGCGAGGACCTGCATTGTACTATGTAGATTCAGAAGGTACAAGAACTCCAGGAAAAGTTTTTTCTGTGGGTAGTGGTTCAGTATATGCATTTGGTGCTTTAGACTCTGGTTATGATTGGAATTTGAGTGATGAAGATGCATATGGTAAGTCAAAATTATCAAAAAATATCAAATTACCCAAAAACGTGTAGATAGAAAAGATTCTAATAAGATAAAATATTGAATAAATGGATTTTTTTTTTTGATTTTTTAAATATTATTTATAGATTAACTCCCAGCTTGTTGTACTTGCATTCTTTCACAATCTTGGAGATCAGTCTCCAATTATTGGTTAAATTGTTCTTGAATTTATTGGTCAAGATTGTGGAAGAATGCAAGTACAATAAACTGGGAGTTAATCTATTAATAATATTTAGAAAATCGAAAAAATATTTCCACTCTCAGACTTTACATTACATTACTAATGAGAATGTAGTATGTTTACTTATAAATTTATGTAAAAATTTATAAAGGTGGAATATAATTGCACCTTCATATTAAAATGTTATAAAATCTAATATTTGGAAAAGTTTACTGAATAAATTTTGTTTCAGAACTTGCAAGACGCTCTATTTATCATGCCACTCACAGAGATGCCTATTCAGGTGGTATTGTCAGAGTGTATCATATGAAACCTACTGGCTGGGTACACATTTCCGATGAAGATTGCATGGATCTGCATTATAAATATGAAGAGCAAAACGGATTGAAAAAAAATTAAATTGACATATAATGATTGTACTTTAAGGTTTTATTAAATGAATTAATAATTATTCATATTTGAAGGATTTATTAAGGTTTGAGAAAAAATTCTGCTTAATATTTAATACTTTTCAACTTTTTGCTATTAATTTTGTTCTTGCTAAATGTATTTGTGTTAAATATTTCCTCTATGATTTCATTTTGTTTTTTATATTTTTGATTTTATGTTTCACATTCAACTTCTTCAAATCATGTTATATTAACAAATTAAAACACAATATTTTTAAATTTAATCATTTTTATTCAAGATTTTAATGAATAATGATACTTTCTTTAAAACAATACAAATAATTGATTTTGAAATAAAATTACATCATGTATTTATCTTTGTGCATGGATAAAATTTTAGCAGAACTCTTTGCATCAAGGAACAGTTCCTTTACTTCTTCAACATCCTCTTTTGTGATAGCATTATGTCCATTAACCTTAGCACTAAGTGCTGCAGGTGTTAATAGCTGAACTGCATATCGAAGTGTAGTTGTGGTTCCTAATTCACTCAATTTAGTTAATGCAGATTCAGTCATGGATATACCTTCAGTTTGTGATCTAAGTTTTAATATTGATTCTATTTCTTCTTGTGAGTATGGCAATGTTCTAATTATTAATAAACGATCAAGTAAATCTAATGGAATACCATGTGGTGAGATAATATCCTCAGTACCACGTATTGTGCAACGACCTCGGTTTGTTGCAAAAATGACTATAGGAGCAATGGCAGACTCTAAAGCCCTGTGAAGGTAAGTAAATGTTTCTATGTCTAACATATGAACTTCATCAATAAAAAGCACTCCAGGTACTAATTCTGCAGTACCTTGATCAATGTATCTATCAACAACTTTGTTAATTTCCTTTCTCAATTTGTCTGTAATCTCAGTCTTTTTGGGTTTCATTAGTTGGCCCATCATAGACAATATATCCTGACCCCCTTGTGGCTTTGCATTGGCAACATCAAGATCATGCAAAGTTACATCTTGGATAACATCTTTTTTCTTATGTACATCTCCTTTTGGCAGAGGAACATATTCATCAGCTTCTAGATCAAATTCAGTAGCATAAGTATCTACACGACCTTGGCGTTTAACACCACCACTGTTTGATTCGATAAAAATGACATCGCCAACATTAACTTTTCTTTCTGCAAATTTTCATAAATTGATGGATCTAACTTTAGTTGTTTTGTGCCTTTGGCAGTTCTAAGAGTAAGTAAAACATGAGATACAGTTTGACCGAAACCCCCTTCTGGAGATTCTGTTCTACTGGTGTCATCTCAGTAACTTCACCTTCGTAAACTTCTTTAGTTTCCTTAATTCTTAAGCCTATAGCTCTGCGAAAATTTTCCATTAATACCTCAGTCTTTTTGATTTCATTACTATAAACTTCTGAACCAACCATTGGACAAAATGGAACTTTGTTTCCTAATTCATGGGCTATGGCAAGAGCAATGGCTGTTTTGCCGGTTCCAGGAGGGCCTGCTAAAAGTAAAGCCCTACCTGCCATCTTTTTAGATCGAATCATATCAACAACGATTCCAGCGGCTTCGCGAGCCGCTTCTTGGCCTACAAGACCGGCTGCTTGTTGTTGCGCATTTCCCTCGGCATCTAAACCTAATCCTTTAACATGACTATGAGCAGATATTCGTTGAACCCTCACAGTGCTTTTCACTTCCTCAATAATCATTTTTAATCACAAGTTATACTTTCAGTTTAATAAAACAAAACAAAATACGAGAAACTTCGTATTGAACAAACGCACGTTGTGTTGTTATGACAATCCATATAGATGTTTTTTCGTTATATAGATGAGAGTTTATAAATGATAATAACTTCAAGATTCAACTTCAGATTCTGCGATTGAAGCGCCAATTATTGTACAATTCATAGGAATTTTATATAACTATATGCTTAGATAAATAAGCATAAATACTATATAATATATAGTTTATTCTATTATTTAATACACACTACAGCTGCAAATTCTATTTAAACTTTAAAAATCACTGTGAATGCTATGAGAAATTTGCCCATATTTTAAAATAGTAATTTTTTATATAACCTGCAAAATATTTTTTTATAAACATTCATATAGATAAAAGCGCTTATTTTATTCGCAAAGTATAATTGGTAATTCTTCACATTTAAAATGTGAAGAATATTATAAGGTTATTGGATATAACACGGCTGTAACCGCTGTATAACTAATAATATAAAATAAAATTGCTAGCATGAATTTTTGTAAATGATAAATAATTATAAAATTATTATTTTAATGAGACAATGAGTGTTAAATTAAAATAAGTACATTTCAATAAGAATTGCAATATTTTGCTATGATTTTGTCAAAATACTCCGTATCGATCGGTTTCTATATGCTGATCTATGGAACATTGTCTCTATGCTAAGTATGGCAGGTTGTGAGTGAATTGAATGTGTGTAATATTTGATTTGTTTGACGTTTGTCAATAAGTGAAATTTATTAGTTGTTGTTTGTTGTTTCATTAATATTTTGGGTGATAATAAGCTGCATCCTAAACATCGTTGGTAATTCAGGTATGTACAATATACATTGTCTGTTATGCATAACAAGTATGCAAATAATAAAATTTCGATATCACAAATCATGTGCATGATTATAAACAATTTGATTGTTGATTGACTTATACAGATTGATGCAGAATTCAATATTGTAAGCGAAACTTGCTTAGAGAAAAAAGCATTATGTACGAACGAATTTGATATTAATATATATATGTCGTTTGTATAATTTTTTATGCCAATTAAATTTTTAAGCTTTAATTTATCCTCATTTCATTTAAGACGGTCTTACTTCTCTATACTTATTACATATATATATATATATATATATATATATATATATTCTATATACTCGTTACATTTTTATTTTATTTATATATATTTTTATCGACGTTGTTTCAATATACATCATATATACGTATTTTGATATTTTAATAGTTCATATTAATTTAATTTTTTTTTTAAATATTTATTTCAAAACCCTCCATCCAAGGAACTTAACATTTTGCTATCTTCATAGCAACATTCCTATTTCCCATCAATAATATTTAACCGTATAAATGCAAGTCCCACTTTCATTAATTTCTTTTAAATTACTAAATAACTTGAGACATTGCAAAATGCTTAGTATTGAATAATCTTAAAATGCATTTTTTATATTTTTATATTTAGATTTTCATTATTCCTACATTTTCAGCATATGTAAAACTTTATTTAATTCCACATTTAATATTAGCGAATTATTACTAATAAATTAAATCACTATTGGTTACAATTTTTGTTGCTATCTATTCCAGTTTGTCACAAATACTTTACTATTGTTTTTTTTAGCGCGTTTTGTTTTTATTCCATCTTTTTCGCGATGCTACCCAAGGCCCCTTTCGCGTCAGTCGCGCTTCATACGCCGAGCTGTGCGGTTGCTTTTACGGTAGTGCGTTGATACGGTTTTAATGACATGTGCGTTTTGTATTAAGGTGTTCAGTGTTTATATGCAATTATATAAAATATTTATAATTAGTGATTTGATTGTGTTTGTTTAAATTGTGAAACTTTCGATCTCTTTCGGTTGCTGCTAGCATTGTAAATGAATTTTATAAATTTATATATTTGGGTAAATTTCTTACTTTAAGAATTAAGAAATTTGAATTTATATTATATATATATATATATATATATATATATATATATATATATATACTAGATGACCCGACAGACTGTTGTTTTGCACTCACGTCTACAATTTAAGTTCCAAATTTTTTAATTTTAAATTTTAAATTTATACTTTAGAATATTCTATTTAATGTCCTTCCATTTATGGTCATAGCATGTTGGAATATGCAGTAGAAGAAATTCAGAAACATTTCTACGATTAAATAACTAATTAACAGCAGACACAATAACTTTACACGAGTCTTACCATTTCTTATTTTATCAATTTATTAGTATATGATTAACAATAACACAAAGACATAAGATCATAGATGGTACTCGGATATCAGTATTAAACGAATTTATAATTTGATTGAATTTATTAAGAACCTGAATTAATAATTTTATTCTCCGTGTGTAGGGCACGGTTGTGCCTCTTTTTTGTCAGCAATTTTGTTAACATACCAGTTATCTGGGAGAAAAATAAATTAAATGGTAATTTGAACATTTCTCTACGTGAAAATACTGAAATAATGTCCTTAAATATGATAGATTTGATATAAAATTAAATCATGCAAGAAAAGATTATAACCGTTGACGGTTAAAATATAAAAATAACTATTAAAACCTATTGTCGTTAATAACAGTAATATGGATCACAGCAAAACATAAACATTTGAACAAAGGTTATGAATAAAATATTACTATATAACAATTTTTAAAAACAAAGTTAGCAAGAATTCATTGTGAAATCATTTTTCTCGTATTGAATTTTTCTTTTCCTTTTTTTTTTGGTCTTTTGTCTTAGTTAAATTAGATTTTTTGTTATCTGTTTAATTTTTTCCGAAAAGGACAAGAAATACATGTCACAACCGTACCCACAAATTTTTTTACAACCTTACCCCCAACGCACACTTTTGAAAGCAAATCATCATTACGATTGAGCTAAATTATCCAAGCAACAACTAATTGCTGGTTAATAACTAACTACTAATGTTCAACTTACAGAAAAAAAACAAACAAAGTGATCTATCAGTAAATTAACAGTTATTATTAAAAGAATTCTCCCAATAATTACTAATTGAATGGTTTTTGGATCATTCAAATCGGATGCTCCGTTCTCTCAAAAACTCGATTTCTATTTTTTGCACTCTTTGCTCTTTATCTTCGTAACTGCTGGATCTGCCTTTGCCAAAAACTAATTAGCACATCTCCCTATCAATAGGAATCGAATGTTTTTTGAACCATGAACGAAAAAATGCGGACACACAAAACACACACACACACACATACAAACCCACATCCATTTTTTCGGTGGTAAGCCAAAATGTTCAGAAACCTTCAAAACGTTGAGAAATGCAAAAATTTTCAATTTCGATTTTTGGACGATTACAATAACTTATCCTACGGCAAGTTAAAAATATAAAATAATTTTCTCGCTCTTTCTATCTTAGAATTGTAAATGAATCTTCATGTTACTTCCTAACGAATAAATGAAGTGGATGGATATGCATAAAATCAAATAATTTGTAACCAGCTTATGAAAAAGAAAAATAAAGCACATGCATTATACGTACGTATTCTTAGTTAGTTTCCATTAGTGATGTGCCGACTCGACAATTTCCTGATTCGAGTGATTCGAATCAGAAAAAAACCTGATTCGAATCATGATTCGAATTAATTCGAATCAAGTTCATATATGAACAATTATAATTTAAGAGAAGAAATAATATCATTTTAATAATTTTATAAGTGAAATAATTAATTTAGTAAGCAATTAATTCCAAAAAGTGCAGAGATGAATATTTATATTATATATATAATAATAAACTAGCTACAAATATAACTAATATTTCAAGTGAATTTACAGTAAAATATAACCAAACACTTCCTCTATCACTAAAGCACATAAAACAATATTCTTAATCTTACGTTGAACGAATGCATGTGTATATTATTGATTGTTTAAATCTAATCTAAACAGGGGGCTGAATCTAACGTCTTACGAATGACTTAAAATTCAATCTACTACTGTAAAGATTGATATTATTTCATTTGTGTGAATTTGCCATTAGTTGCATAATTAAAATATGATAATTTTGTATGTGTATAAAACTCGTTGTGTTTTATTGTTTATTTTGACAATAATTAAAATCTAAATCGCGTATTTATTATCTAAATGAGTTTTTGATATTTCATGAACAAATTTGCTCTCAGCGCTTAGTCAAAAATAAACAATCACTCAAGACCCATACGCACTGCATCTCGATAAGTCGATACGCTAAAACACGGACACATGTTTCGAACTCAAGTCGGAATGATTCAGTTTGAGTCATATAAGCTCGGATAAATTCATATCGACTTGAAGTCTAAATAAGTCGGTTTGAGTCATAGGAACTCGGATGAATTCATATCGACTTGAAGTCGAAATAAGTCGGTTTGAGTCAGAGGAACTCGGATGAATTCATATCGACTTGAAGTCGAAATAAGTCGGTTTGTGTCAGAGGAACTCGGATGAATTCATATCGACTTGAAGACAATGAATGCGGTTAAAGTCATATAAATTGTAGTCGGGTGATACATTTAAGCGTATTGAAGCCGGGTGACTCGCATGATTTAATTCAAGATTTATTTTTTATATTTATTATTATTATTTTTTATAAATATTATTATTATTATTTATATTATTATAATAATAAATTAAATTAATTTTTTTTATATTTATGAAAATTTGTGTTCATACATGTACACAGTAAATATTTCGCGGCTTGATACGAGTTGATTCGAATCAAGTAAAATCTGATTCGAATCAAGTCGTTAAAGGCTTGATTCGAATGATTCGAATCACTTGATTCGACTTGGCGCATCACTAGTTTCCATGCATCCATTCGCTCGAAAAGTGATTTTTATCTATTTTTAATAACAGCCTGAGCGCAGATAAATATACATACTTTACGGCCCTTTATCCGCGGCTTTCGTTCGCGCAATGTTTATAATTCCATTAGCGCAATCTTGAGAGATCTACTTAAATGCTACTTTTAACAGTATTA